GTTACCGATGCCTCACTGTCTGCTCTTCTGGATCTTCAGACTGCCGACTCTCTGCCAACCTTGAGGCTGCTGCCCTGCCTGCTTCACGCACAGCCGCGAGGCTCAACACTCCAAAGCACCAGCATGCCTGGGACCACCTACTTGTTCCTGACCTTCTAGTGTGATCAATTTCTTTTTCATTTTCTTTTCTTTCATGTTTCCCTAACATGATAAGCATCAATATTGGCTCTGTTCAGCAATCTCAACATCATGGATGAACTACAGGTGAAATTGTTACGCAGGGCCGAATTCTTGGGTCTGATGCTTGTTCACGTAAGCTTGGTCTTGGTAGTGTCGCGTACTCTGTGACAAGACTTTCCGACGTAGTAGTAGCCCCACCTAATTATCCGATTAATACCAGGATCCCATAGATGCCGGAAGATGATATTTTAATCATTCCAATGTTCAGACTTACGAGTACGAGTTAGCTTATAATCTTCCATTGTGGTCTAGACAGGGTAAAGAAAGAGAATCATGTAAACACCAATAGCTGTGAGGTCTCACGAGGCCACTCTGCTGCCGGCGCAACACGGCCCAGCATGCTCACGGGCTCCCGACCCACTGTCTCTGGAGCGGGGCGGGCCACCCCTGCACTGGCTGTCCCTCCTGCAGCAGGTGTGCGCTGAAGTCCAGGTCCCAGAGCAGAGTGCTCCAAGAAACCTTCCTTGCCTGAGGTCCACCGTTCTAGGGAGGAGAATAGCAAGCACTGTGACCGGTCTGGAGAGTCTTCTGGCGCGGTGTTTCACCTTGCAGGTCGCTGCTTTGTTTGTCCATGCCATGTGATTCTACGCCGGAGATTTAAGTTGTTTGATGCCCAGATATTTCTGAAATTTCTATTACCATAATAAATTGTTGATTTATTTTCTTATTCTATTTCGGCGTTCAGATTGTGTTAGAGATTTGGTATCTTAGTATTCTTATGGTTACAGATTATGCTCCACCTTCCCAACAAGTCTGTATCTGCTAGTACTGAGTGACCATCCCACAGTGAGATGGTGCAATCAGCTCAGCGACCCATTAATAGCTTGTCTTGAGTCCTATCTGAACTGTTTGCCTTACTCTCTGCCCCTCTCCATCCTATGACTATGATGACGGTGATTTACTTATCTAAATATCTGCCATATTAAACCACTACTTGAACTTGGTGCAGTGATCGTCGTCGCATCAGAGTAGTTTATGTTATACTGCCCTCTCGCACATCCCTAGGTTGCCATATCCCAATTTCCTTCGTATTAACTGGTACTGAATACTGTAATATGGTATAGAATGATATAATACGTGACCCTCCACACCAATGACTTGCCCAGAGTTTGCGATATACGCTATCGATATGACATGTACGGTATGATTCGTATGTAACTTAGGATCTCTGCCTCCCCATCCAGGAGAAGCCAATACCGCTAATGCGTCTGAAGTCTACATCATGTAATGTAATATCCATAACGCCCCCTCCTAGCCACTGCCATCCTGCTCAAATACCTATATTCACGGTATATATACTTATGTCGATGTAACCTGCCTCCCTCCCTCACATAGTACACCAATACCCTATATACTGTAGATACTTATGTATGGTATATACCTGCCCCCTCCCCTCCCACATACCCAATACCCTATTACTGGTAGTACTTATGTATGTATTACTGCCCCCTCCCCCTCCCACATACCCATACCCTATTACTGTCAGTACTTAATGTAGTATATACCTGCCCCTCCCCCCTCCCAATACCCAATACCCTATTACTGTAGTCTATATGTATGTAATACCTGCCCTCTCCCCCTCCCACATACCCAATACCCTATTACTGTAGTACTTATGTATGTATATACCTGCCCCCCTCCCCCCTCCCACATACCAATACCTAGTACATAGTACTGTGCCACTTAGTGTGCTCAGTTAATACCAGTTTGTGTGTGAGTATATGTGGAGTGTTTCCATTCTTGGGATACGGTAAGATAAGCAGAGTGAGAAGAAGCCTGTTTGAAAGAGCAATTCTACTCAACAGAGACTGGGTATTCCCTAAAGCGGCTGTTTAAATTATTGGATCAAGCTAAATTTAAACCAGGTTAGACATTTAGTTAATTTATTTTTCTCTAACCAGCAGGTGGAAGTTCGGAGAAAGACAAGATTATAGACAAAATAAAGGCACTACATTTTCACTGATAAAAAAAAAAATCTCTTAACATTTTCATATCCTGTTGGTTTTCCAGGAAATGCAGAAATGCTCTGTAAGAAATAATCTCAAAATTGAGATGTGATGGATTAAAGATGGGAAAACATGCCCTGGCATACCTAATGGGAACATTAGTCTACGTCTACACACGCAGAACGACATGAATATAGTTTTCCTTAAAAAGCGGTGGAATTCAGGAAGGCAATTATTTTATTGCTTAATAAGACTTAATATTTGGATTGATTGAATTGCCTTTGCCTTTTATTTTGGAGTCTATCTTCACAGCTCCGATATGAGAATGACAATTTTCTCACCGAAACAATACATAGTCTAATAAAGAGCCAGATTTGAGACATTATTTTATTTGGAAATATTCAAGGGTATGTTTAAGCAAGGGAGGCTTTGTAATAGAGGTACGTGCAGTCCAATCCAACAAATGTCGACAGTGCCCATATTCTGGGGGGTCACTTGATGGCCATTGAGGGGTCTGAAGGGCATGGGGGGTGGAGGAACATGGTAAGGAAGCAGAAGAGAGAGAGAATAATTCTGATTGGAGGAGTCAGGAGGGCTTCATAGAGGAGGTGGCCTTTGGACTGGGCCTTGAGGAAAGACTATGATTTCCATAAGTGGAGATTTTTCTCATGAGAAAGGCATTTGAGTTGAAGAAATGTGGACAAAGGAGGAAAAAAAAATGAGTAAGTGCCCAGTGGGTTTATCGTCAGCCCAGTAGTCTGATGTATCTGGGAGGTGGGAGGGGTGTAGGGGGGAGTGGGGACGAGATGCGATGAGGAAGGTTGGTCAAGAGATAATGCTAAAGGCCGGGCGTGGTGGCTCACGCCTGTCAT